ACCTCTGGAGGTGGTGCCTTTTTTGTTTTAAGAAAAAAAAAAAAAGCAGCAAAAAGACAGGGAGGAAAAAAGCACCAGACATACTAAGGGAAACGTAGTTTCTACTAGAAGACAAGAACCTTCTCTCACCTTTCATTATACCTACAGACCAATGGCATAATTAAACACTGTGTTGAGTTTTGGGCCCCTCACTACAAGAAAGACATGGAGTTGCCAGAGCGTGTCCAAAGAAGGGCAATGAGGCTGGTGAGGGGTCTAGAGAACAAGTCTTATGAGGAGCGACTGAGGGAGATGGGGCTGTTTAGTCTGGAGAAGAGGAGGCTGAGGGAGGACCTTATTGCTCTCTACAACTACCTGAAAGAATGTTGTGGTGGGGTGGGTGTTGGTCTCTTCTCCCAGGTAACTAGCAATACGACGAGAGGCAATGGCCTCAAGTTGCACCAGGGGAAGTTTAGATTAGATATTAGTAAAAATTTCTTTACTGAAAGAGTGGTGAGACATTGGAACAGGCTGCCCAGGGGGGTGGTTGAGTCCCCATCCCTGGAGGTGTTTAAAAAACATGCAGATGTGGTACTTCAGTATATGGTTTAATAGGCATGGTGTTGTTGAGTGGATGGTTGGACTTTATGATCTTAGACGTCTTTTCCAAACTATGATTCTATGATCTATAAATGGGCTTAGATTTTTCTTCTGACTTATGTCCCATTCCTTTGATTCATATGTTATTTTCATCACAAGAGGTCACTTGCAAGAGATGTCATCAGCTATCATAATTTTGGAAGGCTGACAGTCGATTTTGTCACCTCCTCCAACCCACACATCACGCTATGGCATGATGATAGTATCACACTCAGGACTAGCCAGGATCTGGGGAAGGCTCCAGAAAATAAGTCTTTCGAATATGGCTCCTACCTTAACTAAGCAATTCTATATAGAGGAATGTGAAACAGAATAGGAAATATCAGCACCATGTCTTTTCCAGCCTATTGCCACAGACGGGGTCCCATCTGTTTCTTCTCGTAAATTGAACAAATCCTGTTTATAGGATTTGATACATAAAACTTAATTTGAAAATAAAAAGTAGAATCTGCGTTCCTTGAAGGCCAAAACAATCAAGATTATTGTGTATTTCAAGATTCATTCAGACCATAAAACCTATTACTGCCTCAAATTTAGGATGTGGAGGCTGACTGATATATTTGTGCATTTGTATGAAGTGCAACATAAGAAAAGCCTTATGAATCAGTGAAAAGTTAGCTACATCAAAACAACAGAGAATTATCTTTTACATAACCTATCTTTTAAGTAGCCTTTGTTATTTCTAAAGATACTTTACTGAATGTTACTTTTATAATGCATACATCTGGCCATGACTGATAACAGGAATTAGCAGACATATTTCCATTAAAAGCATAAAATAATTTTCTTTTATAAGGCATACTTATTTAGATGATAGTATCACCTGAGTTTCTAAAAGATGACAAAGAGTAGATATGAAAAATCTGAGCTTCAGAACTGTTTTTTTCCCGAGAAAGAAAAAGTCTTTTAACAAGGTCTTCAAAATTAATGAAGACAGATAAGTTCGTGCTACAATTTTTGTTAATCCACAAAAACAGGCAAAATTGTCAAATCTTACACTGTGCAGAGGAAAAATTTTGGTAAGTGATAGATTCAGCTTTTGTCTGACTACTGTTACAGAGCTCTAAAGAGAGATGTACTACTCTAAGCTGTCAAGGTCCTTGAATCATAGAAAGAAACTGAAGAAAGATACCTACGAAAAACAACATTTTGCATTGCAGGAAGATCTGAACAGAAGATAAATTCAGGCTTTGATCTTTTTCACATGCTACACCTGGTTTAATGCAAAAGTAAAAACTTCAGATGATATCTATTGATCTGTACATTTAAACAAATGGAGTGACTGACTGCCTGTTGAGGAATGCAAAGCAGTCCTTGGAACTCACTCTACACCTATTTAATACACCTGTGGTTAAATCCGGGCTAACAAGGCTTTAATACATTTTATAACAAGTACCAGGGAAAAAAAAAACAAACCAAAACAAAACAAAAAAAAGGTCAAAAAAAACCAAACCCCCATCACCTCCAAGAACAGTCCCAAAGAAAGGAATCTCTTCTCTTTAGCCACTGTCCTAATTATTCAGAAAAAGAAGTCATGCTTCCTTTTGCATATTCTTATGAATTAAGAAGTACTGCAATCTCTAACACATCTTCAAATGGGATGGTGGAAATGAGTTCTGCCAATTGTTTTAGCAGTGATTACAAATCAAGTGAACATACGGCACTTAAATAACCTCAGTTTCTAAGACATCTGCTATGTTACATGGAGAATAATTTCTTGCACAAGTTTAGAACATAAGATTCAGTCTGCAAGTGCCTTGTTTCAAATTTATTTTTGGATTAAAAAATAATCCTTCAAAGAAAAGTGTTATCAAAAGTTTAGAAAGCCTATGCATACACCAAATTTTTAAATGGATGACCAACATTTCCTTGAAGGAAAAAAAATGGGAAAAGGGTACATCTTTAATAAATATAGGACACACTCCACTTGTGTCTAGAGAATGTATGAGATAGGCTTGAAATCCCTATACCCTGTAGGGTTTACCATAAATACAGCACATAGTAAGCACTGGTCAAAGCCAACATAGCTAAGAAGCTAACTGGATACAGGCTATCTGCTTTGCTGCTGCACTCTTAATCTTCTTACTTAGCAGTGCATCATGATATTCAATTGACTGAAGTGCTTTTAACATGTTCAGAGCCTGATAAAAATAACTAAATAGCCATAGCACATAGAGGAGAAATGAAATACTGAAGCAGATTAATCATCTTACCAGGGTCAGGAGGAAAACTTGTACCTCCATTGGTATCAAAACATTAGGTTTGTTCTGGTCTGCTTATTATTTACAAAACCACATCATATGAAGGGGTTCTAAACATTTATTTAATTAGTCACAGACTAGACCAATACAAAATTCATTAACTATGGATGTGAATAGTTATTAACAGGTTCCCAAAGGCCCTTTCCTTTTAATATCTGCTACATTGCTTTTGCATGACTTTTAATTATAAAATAAAACCAGCAAACACATATCATAAATCAAAGAATTAATACATGTTGTTGCTTGGCATTTTTTAGAAGATGAATGTACCTAATTTTGCAGAAATTCTTAAGAAAGACACGGAGTTTCCTTTAATAAGAGCTATATATTTTCATTGTATTATGCTTTATGCACAGCTTTACCATTGTTAATAAACAAGGAACAAAATTACCTATTCTTAAAAATTTTAATAACGAAGAATTTTTTATCATGAGAAAACAGTTGTTCTCAAAAAGGCTGAGTCTGCAGGTATAGATTGTACGTGGCAATTAATTAAAGTCTCCTGCATCAGTCAATTTAATCCACTAAAATTTCACATAGTAAAAGAAAAGCTAACTCATTTTCTAAGACTTTTTCTGAGATTCTTCTGTTATGAACAGATGCAAAAAGAGCATGGAGGTAGAATATGACATCCGAAAGCAATGAAAGTTCCTATTGTCCAGATCTGCATAAAGAAGTGAAAACGCTTTAGATATTAAGTTTATAACTTAGTCATTCAAACACTAAGTTTAAACACAGACTGAGCTATTAGCAAGAATTGCATTGCTTTTAAATTAGACCACAACATTGACTTTAATAAAAAGGGAGGTTCCAAGTTCTTGCTGTATCTAACAACAAAGAAATTATGCATGTGGGGGGATACCCAGTTAGAAGACTGAAGTCCAGCCAACTATTATAAGTCCTGCCTTATAAATGTCAATGTAAGAAACAAGATTGCAAACTAGCTAATGAAAATTGTTGATTCATTCTTACAACTACTACTATGATAGAATAAGTATTAGAAACCGTACTTGCCAGACAATAGAACCCCTAAGGAGACAGACATTGGGAAATTTTCAATACTTCAATATAACTGCTAAATATGTAGTTTTGGAAATAACTCCAAGGAGTGAGTTTCAGCATTTCTTGATGCCTGGATGACAAGCATAAATCAATTATAAGCTGTTAGCTCCAATTCAGATCTTAAAGTGAACGCATAGACTTGTAATAAATCAAATGGAATTAAGGACAAGAAGATATAATGAAGTTGTAAAGATCCTTGTAATCAGAGGTTAAATCAACATGCACCAGAAGTATTTGAAATTGAGTTTTCCCTATAACTAAACTATGCTTGATTTTATAGAGATTTATATAGGATGGCTCAAAGCCTATAGAATCCCTTGTCCTAGTTATAAACTCTATAAACATTTGTATTTTACTCATTTGTAGGACACTGAGTTAAGACAACCTCATCAAAATTGTAGCTAAGACTGTGCATAATATAGTGTTGCCTGTAAATATATTGGAAAATGAAATATGAAATTATTTCCGTGTTTTAAAATAAGAAGTGTGGAATAAAACCACGTATAAACTTGCTAAAATAAACCCTTGCAGAAGGCCGCTTAGTGTCATTTACTCAAAACAAACAATCAAACAAAAAAAAAACTTAATAATGTTCAGGACTACAAAGAAATTAAATTTCTTGAGATCTCACATAATCTACCAGCTAGCTAGCAATTATTAGTCAATTAATCTTTTCAATTTCTAGTTAAACTACAGGTGTCTTTAGGACTTAAAACTTCATTTCTAAATATAAACTAAATGCTTAATATCCAATACATGAAAGATTAGACACCAAATTATTCTAACCAGAAAGTGTTCAATCTCCTCTGAATTTGTGCACGAAAAGTCTTAGTCTAAAAAACATAAAACAAAAACACTAATGCTGAGAAAAAGCTGTCACTGAAACACACTGTGCAGGGAATTTCTTTAAGGTATTAATCTGACCTAAATCTGATTAAGTGTCTAATTAGCTTGATTACTGATGGCAAGAAAACACGCACTATATACCTGTTCATGATAAACGAGTTACTGAGGCTTCAGAAGAGTAGAATAGGCAAGATGTTTAAAAAACTAAAAGTAGTATTTTCTAGAGCAAAATTATCACCAGAGGAAGCAGAGTGCAAGAATGAAGGTGTCCCTCCACCACCCAAATCATCTACAGGCCAGGTATAGTTTTTATTGTTTAGTATAGACTCAGTAATACTACCTTTTGTTTAGAAAGTATTTATGTAAGTAAATATCAAAGCTTACATTTTCAAACATACTAAACATGGTATCAATATTTATTTAGCAAAATCAAATAAATGCCTTTATTCCCCTCCTCCCTGATACCTTTTCTTAGTGAAGAAAATACAGATGTCCTCCTTTTGCAAGTAGCTTTCCAAATAGGGCTAGCCTGAAACAGTACAAGCTTATGAGACGTCTTGATCAGCATTGCAAATTGAGAATTAGGAATACTGGTGTGGCTGGTTTTGATGTGCTGATGTATTCCACTTCGTCACATTCCCTGCTGGCAGAAAATGTCTGTATACCCTTTCTGAACATTGGAATGGCATACAGGTATATACCAGCCTGCTTCACAATAACTGTTGGAAAGGCAAAATAATCTAGTAGCTTTTTTAAGAAGTATTTTCTTTGGCTTGGCTTTACTAATAGAACTCCTGTTTGAAAACTGCAGTAAGTCATATTAGTCTACAGTCTCTATTTTTTATTTAGTAGTTCTTTACTGTAAAAGTTAACTCATTCTTTTGATTTGAAGTAATGGAATATTGTAAAATGAGACAGAAGGCTAGATATTCCTTCACTTGTTATCTTTAAATTTTTGCCTTTCCCCAGTAATGTCCTAGAGAGTGTTTTGGGCTTTTCCAGCTTGATATAATCAAAATTTACAAGTCATAATGGCAACAATTTGGGTTTTCACCAAATAATTAGGAAAGTGAACCAAGTTCTTTAGTATCAGCCTGAGATACTTATCTGAATTCATGCTTAAGGAAATAATTGAAACTCCAGCATTATAAAGTTAATATCAACTAAGCAGTAATTTTTAACATATTCACCGCAGTTGAGCATATACAAAGACAAATCTTAACTTCTGGGAGCCTTGATTTACATATGTAAGCGTTCCGTAAATTTTACAGTTTTAGGTAAAATTCATAGTAACATAAATGTTCATAAGACTGAATCATTTTTTAGAACCGATATTTTTCTGTAACTCATAGGTTTGTACCTCAAGAAGAGGTGCGGTTAAATCCAGCCCAACTACAACTCAAATTTCATTTGTCATTATTATAGACATGCAAAACCCAGTTCTTTGATGAACAAGTATATCCATACTGCCATCCACAAAAAATGGCAAAAAATTTTATGTTCAACAAGCTTCATACACTGCAGGTCTGCAGAAAAAATATTGTTTATTCTTCTTTTAAAGTTCTGTACATCAGTATTCTTGGGTCAATAAGATATTGTCTTCAAATAATAAAAATCCTGAATCTCAACAGCTGACTTCTGTGCAGCCTGATACCTCATTTGGCAAATTGCTCTAGGAAAAAATACATATTTAGATTTCCCTGGAGACATGGATTACTCTTTTCACCAGAATAATTCCATATATCAGCACAACACTCAGATCATATGACCATCAGCCTCCACTATTGTAGATACTGTTAAGATGGAGGCAGATGAATAGGTCACGGATGGGGCCAGACTCTTTTCAGTGGTGCCCAGTGACAGGACAAGGGGCAACGGGCACAAACTGAAGCATAGGAAGGTCCAGCTGAACATGAGGAAGAACTTCTTCACTCTGAGGGTGACGGAGCACTGGAACAGGCTGCCCAGGGAGGTTGTGGAGTCTCCTTCTCTAGAGGTATTCAAGACCTGCCTGGACGAGGTACTGTGCAGCCTGCTGTAGGTGCCCCTGCTTCTGCAGGGGGCTTGGACTAGCTGACCTACAGAGGTCCCTTCCAACCCCTACCATTCTGTGATTCTGTGATTCTGTGACATTTTCTGCCTGTGAGGAGATACCTTCTAAAGAGAAGGGAAGAAATGTACATAGTATCTGGTAACTGTAGAGCACTATTCTCACATAAATGTTCTTCCACCATTAGGAGGAAGCCTAAAACAAAGAAAACCTTTCTGGAAAGTCTTGTCCAAGTACACAAACAGAATATCCAGGAACAACGCTCAGTGTGTGTCAGCTTGGCTAATCAAATTCCTAGGAGAATGTTGCAGACATCAAACCATCCTTTATCATTCTCAAAAACGAGCATCTACAGTTTCTAATCCTGTTCGTTTTTTTAAGGGTGAAAATAAAAAAACAGATGAGCCACAGAAAGCAGAGGCCAATAAGAAAGCAGAACCTATACCAAAGAAACAAGGTGAGTAATAAGCTATTTATGAGTATTCAAAGATTATCTGCACAAAATACATGTACGCTATATAGGGCTGTAAATAAAATTACTGTACTTCCGAATGCTCTGCCAGGTGCTGATGTTGTTTATTATTTGTGGAAGAAATTTAGAATTCCAAATTCTCATTGACCTCAAACCAGTGATTTCTTACAGAAATAATAATAATAACAATAATAATAATAATAATAATAATAATAAAAGACAACACGCTTTCAAGCACATAACTGCATAGGGGTGGGGTCGGGAAGGCCAAGACACAGCTGGAGCTGAACTTGGCAAGGGATGCGAAAAATAACAAGGGCTTCTACAGGTATGTCAGTCGGGAAAATATGGTCAAAGAAAGCATAGCCCTGTTCATGAGCGAGACCAGCAAACTGGTAACAGCAGATGAGGACAAAGCTGAGGTACTCAACAACTTTTTTGCCTCAGTCTTCACTGGCAGCCTCTCTCCTCACCCCTCCCGAGTCGATGGATGGCATGAAGGAGACCAGGAGGGTAAAATACCTTCAGCTGTAAGTGAAGACCAGGTTCGGGACCTCCTGAAGAACCTAAACATACAGAAGTCCATGGGACCTGATGAGATGCATCCCAGAGTCCTGAAGGAACTGGTTGACGT